TAATTAAATCGAATAATTTGAACACTCTTCTGAGTTTAATTCGTGAGTAACGAATTGATACGAGTCCAGTCACTACTGTGGAGTAACTGTAGTAGTAAAAAGAAAAAATAGAATAAGATTTTACCGTGGCAAAATAAAGGGACAATTCATTTTAATTCATAAATCGGCAATTAATTCATTGAATTTATAAGAGTAAAAACTTGTACGCGAATAATTAAATTTTCACTGCCTTATATATATATCAGTATTGATGATCAGTGTTCGGGTAACTTTAGTATTACATATTCGATATATCATCGATGATAGATTACCGGTACGTACGTATATCACGACTTTTCTGGAAATAAGCTCGCTGCAGTGAAACTTAAATATTCGCTTACTAAGGGGACGCGTGTTATTTTGAGTCAAAATAACAAATTTTTTTAAAAAATGCAGGTTTCGAAATAACGCGCGTGGAGATATCTTGAGCATGATGCATCAAGAACGCCACCTTTAAATTAGGGTGAAATTTAGGCCTATCAAAAAAATAACCGCAGGTCTATCAAAAATGAAACTTTTACCACTCTAGATAATCTTAAAAATTAACGATATCTTCGAGGTTTAAAATTGTCGGGATCTTAGGCGGATCAAAGGCATTACAAATAAAAAAACATTTCATGTGATTATTCTTTTTTATTAGAATATTGGAAAAGTCTAAAAGTCCAGTGAGTGTTCCAGATTTCTGTCAATAACATCATATTATGGTTCATGTTTTATAACGCTAAATAAAAAACCTTAATGCTAATTAAAATATTGTATCACTTCTCATTTATACATCGCTTACGCATATATCTCTAATGATATAAGGTATATTTGATGTTACACCAGAAAGTAAGACTAAATATATATATATATACAAAAAAAACTTTTTGTAATGATCAAAAGCTTATGCACGAATTATTATCATTAAAGAAACCGACTAGCTAAGTCGAAAATTAGCTATAGCTAGCTTTTTTATTATTGACTAGGATCGTGCGATTCATCTGTCTCATCATCGGACGGAAAACGAGCTGGAGGCCTTCTGTTTCTAAGTCGATTACGATTTATACGAATTGATAAAGGACTACTGTCATCTTCACTTGTTGACCGAACGCTTAATATATGAGCTACTTCTCTTTGATTCAAACTTAAGCGTCTAAGTCGTCTGATTGGCGATATAGAATCATTAGTTGAAGCTTCACTTATTAAAATCGGTCGAGACGGAGTGCCTTCATTAATACTTTGTTGTTGGTGTCGTCGCCGACTACGTGTATTTATTGGTGATATTGAAGCAGCATTTGTTAATTCACTTTCGCTTTCACCAGTATAAGTATCATCCGATGATACAAGTTCTACTATTTCTCTATCGTCAATGAAAGAATCTTCATAATCATCTGTATCTGCATCCTCGTCAAGTGGGATATCTATATCATCTTCAATTTCTATTATGAATTGTTGTCCACAGTTAACACAATGATCCCCTACAACTAAATGGAGTCATCGTTATTGCTGTGTAATTATTTTTAATCTTATTTTTAGTAAACTTGTGATCAAGCTTACCTTCCCATGAACATCTTGTACAACGCCTGAAATTAACATAGGATTCATTTGTGTTTGAATTTTTATGATGAATTTTTTTTTTAAAAAAAAGGATATTGACAAACCTTATACCATCAGCAAGGTCAATAATAACTGGCGCGTTTGGTTCACTGAAAAGGCCACGCCATGGATCTGCAATACTTTTCATTTCTTGTTCTTTTTTTCTAAGACGTTCTTGTGCGTTTCTCTTCTCATCATCTGATGATAATCTGTCAACAAAAGTTTCCACTTGTTCTTTAACTACGAATGACAATGCTGGTTTTGATGTTATTTTAACACGACATGTCGGACACTCTTTACGTATTTTGACCTTCGAGTAGTAAATGTCAATATAAAATTAGATGCAGATCAAACGTTAAAAATAAAAAAACTCGTACCCAATCATAAAGACATTGATAGCAAAAGGTATGACCACATGAAATAGTACAAGGGTTTGACATATACTCTACGCAAATAACACACGTTAATCCTTAATAATTGATAAAAATAAAATAAAAGTAAGTTTTATTTTTTAAAAAAAATTTGCGAATATATTGACAGAATATAAAATCACCTGGTTTGAATCTTTTGTTATCTGCCTGTAAACTCGCTATAACCTGATCTTTAAAAGCTATTTCAGCCGTTAGTCTTTCAACCTCTTTTTTGAGTCGCAAGATTTCTTCAACTGCCTTTACTGGAAATGGTTGATCATGATCTGGATCATTTTCTTTGTTAGAGGTGCTTGGTGATACGTTTTGTTCATTGCTCATTTCATTTTGAACCTGTTGATTTTCGCCATCAGGAATAGGTGTGCTTTGAGACTGTCGAGACTTTTGACGTTTACGTTTATGTACATTGGTGTCTGGTGTTTCAATGAGGGTGAGTTCTGTAGTCGAAGTACCGGTTTGCGGCGTGCATAGTGATACTTCTTCTTGTGTTATCGACCGAGTTCTTAATCTTTTAGAACCTGACTTGGCCATGGTATGAAAATGGAACGCAAAAAAAAGTTAAGGTTTTATGTAAACTGCTGTATTTTTTTTTTTTTCAGACAGGTGACCGAATTTAAACTTCACCGTTTATACAAATAAAAAAAAGTATTTCATAATTCCGGTGACGGTGCATGCATTGTAATTGAATGAATTGAATGTTTGTACTGTCATGTGTTGTCGCGATTTGCGCGTCCTGTTAAGTGACACGTACGTGATGATTAATTATTGCAATGATGTTTAAAGACTGCTATGTCGCGACGAAAGCACTAATTGCGTATTTACATTGTGTAAATTGTATATTATTATCTAAGTATATGCTATTTCTCATTAGATCATAACCACAGGCTAAGGGTTTGACATTCATATGATCCACAAACCGTGAAAAATCTATATAATCACTTTTAATGGATATCTGGAATTACGATTATATTATTTTTGAGTGAATAACTTTGATCCACCGGTCAGGTTTTGAATAATTTTAATATAAATGACCGACTAGAAAAATTATTAAAATTCAATAACAGAATCTCGAGATCGTTATGGTTTGTGTTCAGGAAAAACTGTCCCAAATTAGAAGGTTATCTAAAGCGGAGGTAAAATCATGATTGTCAATAACTGGTAGACTATCATTTAACTAATAATATTCAATCGATCTAACAATTAATTACATTGGTGAAAAGTTTATTATACCGTATATAGTATACATATATATATTATAGTATATACCGTATATGGTTCTGCTGAAAATCTGATATATAATACCAACAAAGTTAGCTGGCATTAGTTGTGTTGTATTTTTTTTTTGTCTTACTGGCCACAGTTTTTTATTAGGGTTTTTATTTGTATTGGTGTGCAAGTATAACTAGCTACATATATAACTTTTAGTTGCCTATTTAAATAGTTTATTTGAAGTTTTACACTAGTTACTATACTATTTTTTGGCAGTATTTATTTATTATACAGTTAGACCAGGACCCCGGATAATTCTAAGGTATGTGGTATGGCAAAAGAGGGTAGATTTTTTGGGCCAAACATGTCTAAATTCTGGTCAAAATCAATTTTTAATTTTAATT